ATCTGAGATTTAAGGTAGAAAAGAAAAGCATAAAAGAAAAATGGCTTGAGGTCCAAACATATCCCAGGAGTTTGAGAAAACTGTTCTCAAGAAACAATTCTTAGACTATAATACTTCACACACGAATCCTTAGAGGGCTTGTACACACACTCATCCTGGTGCCATGGTGTGTTGGAAAGGTGACTTCAGCAGCAGGAGTCAGGGTCTGGATTCTAGTCAATTCTGTGAGCCACTAACATACAGTAAGACATGAGCTAGCTAGTCAACCTCACTCCAGAGGGTGTCAGAGAAACGAACAGATTGCTAAATTCTGTGCATCTATATACTAAGGTGGAAAAGTTGTAAAATGTAGCAATAATAAAGGAGGGCAGATGGTTACAAGGAAAACAAGTGCTAAAAAGATGAATTTTGGGGGCCCACAGGTAGTGTGGTGGTTAAGGCTCTGGACTCCCACATGGCCAACCATGGTTTGAGTCCCAGACCTGGCAGCTTGCTTTCTCATTTTCCTTTCCTCTTTCTGGTCAAATTAAAAAACAATAACAAATGGAATCATGTAATAATTCTTTTTTTTTTTTTTTTTTTTTGAAAAAGATGAGCCCCCCTCCCCCCACCCCATAGACCTTAGATCATTTAGACAGAGGTCAGCCTTTTGGAATCCCATGAGAAACAATGCTACAAAGCCATGAGGATAACTCTTTCTACACTGTTCTCCATATGGAGGAAACTGAATGGAGGACTGACTGGGGGTCAGCTCTAGAACTAGATTCCTGGCCAGTGACTTACTGTGAGACCTTAGACACATCACTGTCTCTCTCCCAGCCACCAAAGCTATGCAGTGAGAATGAAATGATGGATGGAAGTGTACGCAAGAGCGATACAAAAACTTCACCAACAGTGAATAGCTAACAGCTAACAATACCAACTAGAAATAGAATAAGTGAAAAGCCAGGAAACTTAAAAGAAAGTGATGATCTAAAGTTGTCATAGAAGACCCTTCTGTTTCTTTCTTTTTTTTTTTTTTAAGCCTTTCTATGAGAATCCAGTGTCTTTAACCATCACGCCACCTGCTGGCTCCAGAACCTTCTGTTTCTAGCAAGGTAGATATATTTGCTTCTCAAAGAATGATAAAATTAGAACATGCTGGAGAAAAACAGCTCTTCTTAAGATGCTGTGCAAATATAAAGTTATCATTTAATTTTAATTTAAAATGGACATCTCTGGATAGTTATTGCCTTTCAAATGTCAACATTTAATAGTAAGAACTCAACAGCTTGCTAACTTTAAACAACCTACAGTAAATACCTTGAAAAACTGTAAATGGACTGTGAAGACAGTTATTCAACCTCTCTCATTATAGTTAGGTTCTTTAACTGATTATTTGGGGGGGGGTGACCAGTCTTAACACTAGAAGGCAATGCAAATGAGCATTTCAGTCCACAGTTAAAAGTGATTACACTTCCCTAACTTGGCTATGAGAAACAACTGAAGCATATCTTTGTTAAAATCACAAGTAATTCAGCTTCTTTTGAGTCAGAATCTCACTCTGCAGTTCATTTCATTATCTTTCATAGGAGGGAACCTCAAAATGTTCATGGAAAAATGGAATTAAATTACCAGTGTATTCTGGTCCCAAAATATTTTAGATCCATGCACAGCCTTCTCGTAAGATGCACTTTCCACAAACTTTTTGAAGACCCAACCACCCTTACACTCTCCCTTCTACATTTCTTCCAAAAATCAATGGATGGCCTTTTAAAAACATCTTGAAAAGATAAAATAAATGGTTCATGTGACATTAAAGTAGACACAAACGCATAATTTTGCAAGTCCACCATGGCAGAGTGTACAATGAAGGTAAATCAGAATTTACCGACGAATCAGACCCTACAGTCCCCAGGTGATTCTAAGTACCACCTGGCTCTACGCCAGAAAGTCGATGTTGAGGTAAAACAAAGAGGGACTACTGAGTTTTCTAGACTCTTGGTCCAAAATGTCATTTATAAGAATCAATCCATTTAGGAATGAAGGGCCAAGGCAGTGCATAGGAACCAGCACTTTAATCCTCACATGCCTCCAAGTGCTCAGTGTGACCCTTAACCTTTCTGAAACTCAGCTTCCCCGAGGTAACAAGCATGGTAGTGCCCACTCCTGCAAATTCATAGCAGATCACTGTGAGGACAGCAGAGAGCATTGTGCTCTCTGGCTCTGGAGTTAGAAACTATGATACTGTGAAACATGTATTTGGTCTTTGTCCCCATTTCTTGGTGCAATTCCTAAAATCTTTGGGATGTTCAAGAGATACATTTTGTTTTTGTATGCTAAGAGTTGACTAATGGCCGGCAGTGCCTACGCAGCTTCTGAATGGGTGTGGGTCACTGGAAGACCAAGGCAGGATTAGAGGGTTGAGACTTGCAGTCCGCTCGCAACCTCGAGGGGAGAAGGGTGAAGTTACATTTACCACCAATGAGGAAATCAATCCTGCAGGGTTTGGAGAGTGCCCAGGTAGCTAAACACAAGGCAGTTCCTAGATGGTGGTGTGCCCAGAGAGGGCACAGAAGCCAATCCCTTTCCAACATGCCTTGCCCTCTGCATCCTTTATAATACGCTGGTAAAGAGAAGTAAGGCTTCCCTGAGTTCTGTGTGCTGCTCTAACAAATTAATTGACCACCAAGAAGGAAGGGTCATGAGATCTCTGATTTATAGCCCATCAAATGTACAGGTAAACCTGGGGCTTGCTAAGAGCATCTGAAAAGAGGTGAAAGATGGTCTTGGGAACTGCACCCTTCACCTGTGGGATCTGACATCTCCAGGTAGGAACTAGTATCAGAATTGAATTAGAGGACATTTACCTGGTGTCTGAGGCAGAAATTATTGCTTGCTTGGTGTGTGGGGAAGAATCCAAAATCCTGCCTGAGTTTCTAGGCTGCCAGCCTCCTCTACAAACTTCAGACCTACCAGGCCCATGACAGCATGCACGAGCCAATTCCTTAAAGCCAATCAATCAATCTGTGTGTGTGTGTGCACGTATTTTTTTAGTTCTGTTTCTCTGAAGAATACTGACTGATACCCCCTAGTTCAAAGAGAAAAAATGCACCACAACGTTGTATCAACTGACAAACAGAAAAAAAACTTGTTGAATTGTTATACGAAAGTCCATGGTACTCAGAAGTGACAGGGGCAGTAGAGAGGCGGACACGACTGAAGCCCTGCTGAGACGGTCATCGGCACTTGTGAACATGCTTCTGTTGAGTCGTCGGAAAAGTCATGATGCTCTTTGGCACAGAAAAATACTCCATGACTTTTCCAACAATCCAATACAATTCCAGGATCTTATGTCCTGAAAGCAGGGAACATATCTGTTCTTTAACAAATGTAAAGATAATGTAAGAGGAAATGAACCATGAATTAATTGCCTTTCCTGTTTTTTTTGTTGTTGTTGTTGTTTTATGTTTTTTGTTTTGTTCTGTTTTCCATAAAACAAAGCACTTTACAGTTTTCAGCCTCCAGTGCAAAGTTAGGAGGGAATGTTGGGAGGAAAGGAAAGTAGGATTAGGATGAATTCTTTGTGTCTAGATGGTAGTGTGCCCAGAGAGCTTAATAAACAGTCGCATATTCTAACTTCTCTCCCTAAAAATACTACGGTTTCAGGGTAAGTGGTATGGTGGTTGAGGACACTGGACTCCTACATGGCCGGCTGTAGTTTGAGTCAGGTCTGGTCAAATTTAAACAAACAAACAAAGTAATTCTCAAAAAAAAAAAAATACTATGGTTTCTGCCAAAAGCCTTTATAAGCTGAAAATGCAAGGCATTTTGAATTCAGCCTGAATTAAGCCACATAATGAGCACTTCCAGCCTCGTTCCTGACATTTCCCCAAGATCCCTGATTGCCAGTCCCAGATCAAGCTGTCCCTTAGCATGTGCGGTTAGTTCTGCATCCCCATTGCCCCTATGCTCTCTTGGGCTTCTGGGGGCAGAGGTGCTTTGTAATGCAGCATGGTGCTGAGCACACAGTAGAAGCTCAGTAACCAACAGCTGCCAGGTATGGTACTAGCCTGTGTCAATCTGACTGTGACTGAGACCCGATGTTATAGACTAGATACTTGTGAGCTACCTGATTATATCTCATTAAAATTTCATCACAACCTTGAGGTATAAGGAAGGATTACTAAACTAAATAGCCACATGTATTTAACTCACAGCTGAATCAGATCGAGTGCTCTTATACCAAGCAGGGATGGCATGGCTTAACATCTCTGTCAATAAAAAGCTCATGAGGTCTGCATACGTGGAATGCTTTTTACTGAAAACACCTGCGTGTCCTTAATGCTAGACGAGGAGTGTTTCTCTACATGTTGCACATTACAGTCACCCGAGGGGCTTTAAAACTCAAACACACCATACTCAGAGCCCATTTCAGACCCAAAGAATCTCTGGGGCAGTTCTGATTTTAATCAGTATTAAAAAAAGGGGAGGGGGAGGGCAGCAGGTGGAGTGGTGGTTAAAGGCACTGGGTTCCTACATGGCTAACCATGGTTTTGAGTCCTGGACCTGGTGACTTGCTTTTTCACTTTCCCTTTCTCTTTCTCTGGTCAAATTAAAATAACAACGACAACAACAAATGGAATTAAAGAAATAATTCTTTAAAAACAAAAAGGGAAAAGAAAGTTTCTCTGTGACTAACGTGTGAGAAATCTCCAAGTTGGATGATCTGATAGCCTTGACCACGGTCTGGGCTAATCTTGGTATGCGTCGCAGAATGGAGGAGCTCTTGAATTACTGTACCTGGGATTACTAGGTCACTTCTAGAAGCACACAGCCTTGAGAAACAGGGTACAATTATGATCTCACCCATGAGGATGCTGCAGTTGAAGCATTTTGCTTATTAGTGGAAGAAACAGTGAGCACAGTGATTGAGTTACCTTTAAAATTAACTTCAAAGCCATCGAGAAAATAATCCACTATAATAATTCACCGAAATACAGGGAATTGCCCCTTCATACCTTTTTAGCTTCCTCTGCTGTGACAGAGCTTCCAGAGGCTTCATCTTTGGTGATCAGAGTAATTCCATCTAAAAAGCAATTCAGAGAGTAAAATCCAGACACAAAGAATCCATCCTAATCCTACTTTCCTTTCCTCCCAACATTCCCTCCTAACTTTGCACTGGAGGCTGAAAACTGTAAAGTGCTTTGTTCTATGGAAAACAAAACAAAACAAAAAACGTAAAACAAACAAACAAATGGGAAAGGCAATTAATTCATGGTTCATTTCATCTTACATTATCCTTCCTCCTATTTTTGCTTGTATAATAAACAATAAAGACTACATCTTTCCATGAAGTTTTCCTTGATCAAGTCTAGAAAGTCTCCCCTTCTTTGGATTTTCAGATCTCTTTATCCCTTTGAAATCGGTCTCGTCACATCTTATCTTACAAAACTGTTAGGTTGTTGAGAAAGTTATGACATATTTTCCTATACAAAAATGTGTCATGACTTCCGTAACGACCCAATATTTGCACATATGTTAACTCTCCTAAAGAACTATACTTTTCTCAAGGGGAGGGGCTAGATCTTATTTATCTTTATAGTTTCCTCAATGTAGTATAAAATAGAAACTTAATAAGTGAAAATGAAATGCCTGTACACTTTTACCCAGCTCTTTCAGGTACCCAACATGGGTTGCTGAATGCATTTCCACTAGCAGTGACATTACTGGCTACTGCTAGAATAGCCAGAGGATCAGGCCGGGAGGAAACAAACTCTTAGAGTGAGCCCGTCTATCATTTAGCACAGTACATCACTTTTAGCTCAGTGAGAGTAAATCAAGGATAAAAAAAATCTACCCTTTAGATTTCTCTTCTTCTTCAGATTTTTTTCCTACTTCAAATGGTTGGTGCACAATTCACTTTCAGAAAAGGACAAATATTTATACCTAGAAATGATACAGTGTACACGTATTCTCTCAACAGCATTTAAGTTCTCAGAAAATACATACCTTGCACATGTATTATTTTTCTCTAAGCAAATAATATGATGCTATAGGTGTTCAATAAATACCCAAACCAATCTCTTTCATTTCCTGGGTCAGCAGCAGACACAAAAGCGATTTGAGTAAAACCTATTCACCGTCTATTCTAATTGCTTTTGCTCCCCACTATAGAAGTTAAAGAGCTGAAAAATTAACTGTCAGGGAAACAGTTGCCTGTGTGATGAAAACCTGCCTGTTAGAAGCTAGATAGGTACACAATTCCTTTAATATAGAATTTGCATAGAAATGCAGGTTGAAACTAATTTTGCATCTCAACTATAAGTGAAAAGCTTCATACTATGCCTTAAAGATCATCATTTTCATAATAGGTATTTTTAATAAGTAATATTTTATACTTGGGTTATAAAAAATCAGGTCATGTTTTTAAAAAACAGACAAAGAGTACACAGGAACTCAAATATCAAGCTAACATTAAAAGAACGTGTGTTGTCTTCCTTCTGGCTAATCTGCATGGCTGCGGAGAGCAAGTGAGTGGCTTTGGTGCATGCAGAGGCTGTTCTGTCGACATGGAAAGTCCAAAAACATGGGACTGGAAGGCAGCAGAATGGCAAAGGGGGAGTGAGATCAATCAAAGTGCTGAGGATCCAGCAAAATTAAAGTGGCTAAGATTCCAAGAAGGGGGGGCTTGTTGGCCCACACAGCTGCTTCACTCGACACACAGAAAGGCACCATCTTAGAAATGGGTCATGCGGTGTAAAGGGTTTAAGATGGGACTTACATGTTCACCTATTTTATTTTTATCCCTTCATATTTAAAATATAATAAAATACAACATAAGTCACACTAAGCAAGATTTTGAGCTCACTGAATTCTAAACATTTCCAAAAGCCACATGGGACATTATCAGGTCTCCATATAACGTATCATATAACATAATTTATATTCAGAATTTATTGGGTTGTCTGGAAAGCCACAGCATTCCCAATGACACAATATATGTATATTTAGGAAAAAAAATAGCATAAATATTTGGAGAAAAAGACAATCGACACTTTACCCTGAACGACGATTTCCCAGAAATGATTTAATTGTTTAACGTCCACTTTCTCTCTTAGGCCTTTCAGAAAACTGTTAAAGCACTGCTCTTCTGAAAACTGTGGGAAGGCAAGCAGAATAGAAGAGGGGACAAATCAGTAGGTAAAAAGCCAAATTCACACCTCGACCAAGTGCTACATAGTCTGAATCTACTACATTTATGAAAACATGGAATGTTCTCCTTTGGTAAATGGGAAGTTAGCTTTGTTCCTTGGGAACTAGAAATTATTCTTTCTATGGAAGGTCCAGAGTACCTTCATTTTTGTTTTTGTCTTTTTTTTTTTTTTTGATTGCCTTGCACTTTGGTTTTTAACATTTAGTAAAGGACATTTCAAACAAAACCAAAATGATTTAGAGAATGCTCATGTACCCACCAGCCAACTTCAATAATTATAAACTCAACTGATCTTATTTCTCTTTTCTATCCCTATCTTCTTCCACAACTCTCAGGTAAGTTTGAAGCAAATATCAATCATATTATTTCACTTACAAATATTTCAGTATGCAATATTTAAAAATATACCCTTAAAACAAACATGCAACCAAACGTGCTCACAAACCATTATACATCACACAAAAATACAAATTCCTTAATGGGGCAAATAACCGGTTGGTATTCACATTCTCTCCAGCTAACCTGGGGCAGAGCTAACAAGTAAAAAAGGCAATACGTTTTTGTGATGTTTTTCCATCTAACCAAATCTTTCTCCACCCAACTGAGTCATCCTTGGTCTTCTCTTGACTCTCTACTTTTCCAACATTTTGTCTTTATCTGCAGGATATGTGCATGATCTACTTCTGCTCTTTCATTCTGACTTTAAACATTTTCTCATCATTCTCTGCCTAAATTATTCAAGCATTAATTTGTCCATTCATTCAGCAAATATTTAGTATCCACACAAGAACATACACAACTTTGGCTACTTAAAAAATACACTTTTGGCCTAGCTGGGGTGACACACGTGGCTAAGACACTGTGCTCTGCAAGCTGGGACTACAGAGGCAGTCCCACAGGGGAGGTCTGGGTTCAATTCATGGTCCACTAGAGCCGGAGCTCAGTGGTGTACACTTCTGCAGCAACTTGGGAGGCTGAGACAGGAGAATTACAAGCTGGAGGCTGGGTCTGGGCAACAACGTGACACTGTATGTAAAAATACAAAAAGCCAGGCATGGTGTCACATGTCAGTAGTCCCAGCTGGGATGCTGAGGCAGGAGAATATGACATAGACCCTATTAAAGAAATAAGAAAAAAGGAAACAAACCTGTGTGTGTGTACTTTTTAATTTAAACTTGCTCACTTTTGTTTAGAGGTATAAAAGCCTAGAAATAATCTAGAAGATTTTTAGAAGTATTTTTTTTGTTCGTTTTGCTTTTTTTTTTTTTTTTTCTGAGAGGTTTTTGCTATAGGGCATTTGCACTTCCAGAAAGACAAAGA